CAATATGTCTCCTTAGCTCTTGACTGCTGGTACCAAGGGTATTGATTGTGGATTCAAGTAAGGTGAAATCATTGAAAATTGTAATCGTTTCACTATCTATCATGAATGTTGCCTCTTGGTCCAGTGGTGAGGAGTTTTGTCTTCTTGATGTTGAGATGTAATCCATATTGAAGGCTGTAGTCATTGATCTTTTTAACAGTACATTATTTAAGGGAGATCCCTGATAGTGCACAAACGAAGTACTTTCTTGCCAACCAAAATGTCAGCGGTTCAAATCTACCAGTAATTCTGGGAGAAAGAAGTTGCATTCTGCTTCCATAAAGATCATAACCTTGGAAATGGGACTGTCCTAGTCTATCTGACATAGGGTCACTCTCAAGCCAGAGTCAGCTCAACAGTGACTCAAGTAATTTAAATTATTTGTCTTTTATAAGATTTCACCATCTTTGTAAAATTTCAACTCTGTCTAGGTTATCAAAAGGATTTTAATGTGTATTTTTGAAAATTTTGTTAAGTGTTAGGAAAAGTGTAATACATGAAAAATAAGAAAGTAAATTGTATTCTAATAGTTACTATCACTCTTGTGGCTGTTGAGATGGAGCCAACTCATAGCTGACCTTCCAAATCTGTAAGAACATTAGATATTGCCCATCTTTCTCTCCAGGAGTTACTGGTGGATTCAGACCATCTGAGAGGCATGGCCTTTGTGTTGACAAGGCAACACCTTGTGGCCCACATCACTCTAAATTATTTTCTGCACTTTAGGGAGAGAAGAAATGATCATGGTACTTAAATAATCATGCTCTAGAATTGAGTGGACTCTGTTTTAAGGCAGGGCCATCTCAGATCCCATTAAAGAAGTAACAGAAAGTATAAGCAAGACTCTTAGTGTTAAGATCTCATTTGTAAAAATGTGTTATTGCAAAGACCTAAAGGAGAAAAAGCTCTGTTAACAGTGCACCTGGATTAATATAGCATGACTCCCACCTCCCTGCTAACAATACTAAAATATATGACAAATACAGATGTTTTATTTCTGCAACAAGGTATGTCTGTGCTTGGAAAACATTTGACTTCTGGCTTTGAATTCTTTCATTTATTCTGTACATGTCTGTAATAAAAAGAAATCTACTGTGTTTTGTCTGGGCACCTATAGTGACAAGTAACTCAGAAGCTAAGATTCTCACACATTGATCTGAATCTATGGCTAAGCAACCTAGGATGGCATTATGTGACGGAAGGAGTAACAAAAGTCTGTGTGGCCAGGGCTTGGTCAGTGGCCTACATCCTGCGGGCTTAGTCAGGAAGCCTGGAGGATACTGTTAAGTTCTCTAATTCACTGCTCATTAGATGTCCACAAGAATATAAACACACATTGCGAACCTGTTTGGGCAGGAAAAGGAAGTTATATTACAGATGTCATTTCAGGTGTGACTGTAGAAAGAACCCCCTTATTATTATAATACTATTTGATGAGCTAATGCTTTGCTCTTTGTAAAAATGACTTGACAAGGGAGGTGTCTGACCTCCTTTAACTTCACAAAGGAAGAGGAGGATCATTCTAAGCATTAACAACAGCCTGAGGCTGATTCCTATGAAACAGAGGTTACCAGTCCTCACCACCGTCTAACCCAACCATGATGACTCTCTACTCTATTTCTCTGCTGGGTTCCATAAACTGTAGTGATGAAGACATAGAACTTACAGGCAATATCCATTATTATCGGGTTTGTTAGAGAACTAATGGGCTGTAACTTACTCAGGGTCAGGAATGACTCAGGAGACAGCTCTTTCATCAAAGAAGCCTCTCCTCAGCCGAGCATGCAGAACAGCTCTCTCTGGCCCTTGGCTTCCCCAATAAATGCCAGAGGTCCCCCACTCTGCCAGTAAACCTCTTCCTGAAGTCACTCAGCTTTCTCATTCTGTTGGCCCTGAAGCCGACAACACCATCTCCTGTTAGTTTCCAGGTTCTGCTGCCCCTGCTGCCACTCTTTCTATGCCATGCTTCTTACCATTTCTCACTGCAACCTGACCCCTGCATCTAGGAGGTTCCTAGAGCAGGGACCTTGGATCCGAAGGATGTGCTCCATTCCATCTCTTCTTCGTGCTAGTCCCTCCCTGCTTCTTCAAGCTCCTCCCTGTTACCACCTGCTGGCTCTTTGATAAGCTTTCTTTTAAGAATAACTATGCTGTGTACCACTGAGTCAGAACCAACTCAAAGCTGACTTCCCAAGGGTTTCAGAGACAGTAAGTCACACGGGAGAAAGGAAATGGTCCCATCTATCTCCTGAGAGCAGCTGGTGGATTCAAATCACATGCTTTTGGTACGGCAGCATAGCTCCTTCCCACCAGTACTCCCTTTCAGAGTAGAAGGATGGCAGAATTGACCCGTCTCCGCATTAGAGTTACATGCACTTTATGCACATGATTGCACCTCTGTAATCTTATTTACATTACTAGTAATTATTAGTAAGTAATCTAATCCCCTTGATTGGCCCAAACACCTCTTCTGCATTTCCCTACCGAGTCATTTGGTGTACTAACAGAGAGTAGGCAAGCCATATTAAGTAACTCACTGCACTACATTCTCTCCCTCCCCCTCTCTCACTCATTACCTCACTTCTTCATTTCAACACCCATTCCCACCCTAAATTTGACAGGAATTTATTTAAACTTTCACTCCTGTCATTGAATCAATTCAGACTCATAGCAACTCACCATTGGATTTCTAGGTCTGTAAACCCTTATAGGAGGAAACTACCTATCTTTATCCAGTGGTGTATTCAAACTACTATTCTTTTGGTTAGAAGCGTGACACATTACTTGCTCTATCACTAGATGTCCTCTTACAAACTTATATAGGGATAATATAAAAAAAAGTCACTGGGTTTTTTGTTTGGTTGGTCTTTTTCCTTTCTACTAGTTTATTTACAAGATTTGAATATTTTTGTTAGGAGCTACTCATAGCAACTCTATGAACAACAAACCTGAACCCTGTCCTCTCCTGTGCCATCTTCATCCTCTAATTCACTTGAACCCAGGCTGCAGCCACTGTCAGTCCATCTGGTTGAGGTCTTCCTCTTTTTTGCTGACTCTCCACCTTTCTACAAATTATGTCCCTTTCCAACGTATAGTCCCCCTCCTAACAACATGCCTGAAGTATGTGAGACAAAAAAAGAGTAGGTGCTATTTTTATTGAGTTCTTCTTCAATCATCTTAAAAACTTTGGATTGTGATTTAAAGTGAAAATTTACAAAGCAAATTGGTTTTCCATTCAATCATCCAAACACGTTTTGTTTTACAGCATTGTGTTGTTGTTGTGTACCATAGAGTCAGAACTGACCCACAGCTGACCCTCCAGCTGGTGTTCAGAGGCAGTTAATCGCACAGGAAGAGATTGCCCACCTTTCTCCTGTTCATAACATTACTTAGAATAATTCTATTTGTTAATTATTAAATTAAGTAGAACACCCACGGTGTAATGGTGTGGATTAGGGAAGGTTCAGAGTTATTGTTCATAGGTCCCAGCAACTTCTGGGGAGAATACCCTCACAGTATTTGGTTTAATCAAGAAGTTTACGTAACTTTGCCTCCTGTTGGTCCTGCTATAAACATAAACATATTTAGAACATATACTGACATGAATGTGGAGCCTTGAGTCCAGATTAAAGCTCCTAATACCTTCCATAGTACCAGCTAAAGTAAATGAAGCAAAATTGGTCTGGAGTTTTTTCATTTTCCAGACTAATACTATTTCTTGGGTTTTTGTTTTGTTTTAATTGAAATTTTTTTCTGCCAAAACTTTTTATTGATGGCATTTGAAAAACAAGATACTTAAAATACTAATAAACAATAATTGAAATTTTAATGAAAGTTTACAGAGACTTTAGATTTCCATTCATACATTATTTTCTTTTAGACATTATAATAGCCACTTATTAGGACTCAAAAACTCAGTCATTGCCATGGAATTGGGATCAACTCACAGCTGACCCTTCACTGGGTTTCCAAGACTGTAAATTGCAAAGGAGATTGACCATTTTTCTTTAGCAAAGCCACTGGTGGATTTGAACCAGAAGAGAGGTGTGGCTCTGACCACAGAAATAGTAATTATGAAGGGCAGGGCTAGTGGTCTATACAGTGGTGCCAAGTGTCGTTAGATTCCAGGGAGTCAGCTCTAACTCATTGCAACCTTATGTACAACAATATGGAGCCCTGCCTAGTTGTGTGCGACTCTTTACAATTTCTGCTGTGATGAAGCACACGGTTGCAGTATTAGTCTGTCTCATTGACAGTCTTATGACCTTCTACTTTATAAAGCGTGATGTCTTATTCATAGTGGTGCCAACTGATATTGTCATAGGTAGGTGCCGCCAAGTCAAGTATGACTCATAGTAACCCCCTGAACAACAGAAGTGAACCTCTCCTACTCAGCCCCTTCCTCACCATCTCTGCTGTACTCGAGCCCCCGGCTACAATCACTGTATCAATCCATCTTATTGAGAGTCTTCCTCCCTTTACTAACCATCCACCTTTCCAAGCATGATGCCTTTTTTTCCAAGAAATGGTCCTTCCTGACAACATGTCCAAAGTATATGAGATGACGCTTTCCCACCTTTGACCTCTAAGGAGTAACCAGGTTATACTTTCGCCAAGACATATTTGTTTGTTCTTTGGGCAGTCCAGGGGACTCTTCTCCAACACTACAACTCAAAAGCATCAATCCTTCCTGTCATCTTTTAATCATTTACCATCATTATTTATTGTCCAACTCTCTGATGTATAGCAGGTGATTGAAAGACCATGGGGGTTTGAATCAGGTGCACCTTAGTTATTAAACTGACCTCACTGATCTTTAACACTTTGGAGAACTACTTGACAGCACTTTCCAATGTACTGTCTATTGATTTCTTAACAGCTGATTCTAAGATTGTTGATTATAGAAGTAAGCAAGATGGAATTGTTGACAACATTATTAAATTGCAACATTTTTCTTTCAGGGGGCTCAGTGGATATGCTGTACACTTTCGCAAATTGCTCAGGATTGGACTTGATCTTTGGCCTAAATGCGTTATTAAGAACAGCAGATATGCACTGGGACAATTCTAATGCACAGTTGCTTCTGGACTACTGTTCATACAAGAGGTATAACATTTCTTGGGAGCTAGGCAATGGTGAGTACTTCCATTAAAAAGATTCTCCTTCAGCATGAAATCATTGAAGACTTTAGACATTCTGTTTCACATTTGCAAATATACTTTATTCACATTCTTGAAAATGAACAAATTTTTAGAGCTACTTATGAAGGAAACACCTTTAACTGTCCCAGAATCTATTGTTAAATATAGCTGTTTATCTTATTTTGACTTGGAAACAACCTGCCGGGGCCAGAAAACTCCACAGCTCTCAGGTTCCCATGAGATTTTCAAAGCCACATCAACTTGCTATTCTTGGCAGGCTACATGCAACAAAAATGTGAAATTAGCAGGTTACTTTTATCTTTCCATTTCTTTTCTTTCCCTCAATGTCTCAGTTAATCTGAGCAACCCCATCTCAATCTTCATTATACGCTCATGATGTCAAGAAGTTTCTAGTAAAGAATCATACCCTAGTTAAAATCTTGATTGTCTCCTTCTCCAGTTTTTGGAAAGAAACTCGTAACTAAAATGTTAAGATTAATCACATTCATGTAAAGCGTGTTTATTGTGCTCTCCCCACATACCAGTGGATGGAACTCAAAGTAAAATGAGAAATTAGATGTAAAAAGCATATATTAGCTTCGACAGAGGCCTACATACTACTCTTGCTGCCACAGCCATGTCTGGACTGATTTTGGAGAAGTTCCAGCACATTTTGCAAGTACTCAACACTAACATTGATGGCCCGTGGAAAACAGCCTTTGCCATCACTGCCATTAAGCGTGTAGGATGAAGATATGCTCCTGTTGTGTTGAGGAAAGCAGACATTGATCTCACCAAGAAGGCGAGAGAGCTCCCCGAGGAAGAGGTGGCACGTACAATCACCATCATGTAGAATCCACACCAGTACAAGATTCCAAACTTGTTCTTGAACAGACAAAAAGATGTGAAGGATGGGGAATACAGTCAGGTTCTGGCCAACAGTCTGGACAGCAAGCTCTGTGAAGACCTGGAGCAAGTGAAGAAGATCCGTGCCGATGGAGGGCTGTGCTACTTTGGGGGCCTTCAAGTTCGAGGCCAGCACACCAAGACCACTGGCTTTTGGGGCCATACTGTGGATGCGTCCAAGAAGAAATAAGTCTAGCTTATATACCTTAAAAAAAAAAGGCATATACTACTATTCCAGGTATTGTTGGGAGAACTTCATAAGTATTAATATAAATTAATAATAAATTATTATTAATGATAAATTAATTCATACAAATGAATATTATTATCCACTACCTGAGGTAGATATAGAGGAGCCCTAGTGACACCATACTTAAATGTTCCCTAGTTAACTGGAAGCTCAGCAACTGCTCTTCAGTAAAAAGATGACTATGACTCATAGCTACCCTGTGGACGAAGGATCTGAAACTTGCCCTATCCTGTGCCATCCACATGACGTCTATCATGCTTAAGCCCATTCTTATAGTCACTGTGCCAATCTATCTTGTTAAGAATTTTCCTCTTTCACTGACCCTTTGCATTTCCCAGCACAATAATCTCTTTCCAAGGACTGACCCCCTGACAACCTTCTAAAAGCATGTGAGACAGAGTCTCCTTGTCTTTGCCTCTAAAGAGCACCCTGTTTGCACCTTCTCCAACACAGAGTTGTTCTTTTTAGGAATACATAAAATATTAAACCACAATATAAAAAATGCATTGATTCTTCTTTGGTATTTCTTTCCTCCCTCCCTTGGTATGACTTACTCCTTGTCCAACTTTCAGGTGCATAGGAAGCAAGTGACAATACCGTAGCTTGGATCAGGCACACCATGACTTTAACTTGGCATTGTTGCTATTTAATACATTAGAGAATTACGTGATTGCTTATTTTCCCCAGTGCAACACAGCCATTGCTTTCTTGACTGCCTCTTCTATAAGTGTTAGTTGTAAATCCAAGTAAAATGAAAATTGTTGACTATTTCAATCTGTCTTTTCTTGTAGCATGATGTTGCCTATAGGTCCACTGGTGAGGAATTTTTTTTAAAATATTTAGATGTAATCCATATTGAAGGCTGTAGTCTTTGATCTTCTGTAGCAAGTGCTTCAAGTCCTCTACACTTTCTAAAAGCAAGGTTGTGTCATCTGCATAATGCAGGTTGTTCCATCTTCCTTCAATTCTGATGCACCATTTCTCTTTATAGAGTCCTTTTTCTTGAATTCTTTTTTTTCATTCTATTTTTTTTAATTTAGTTTGTTTATTTTTCATTTCAATGAACATCTACAAAGATTTTGGAATTCCATTCATTCATTGCTGCACCCTTCTCCCAGCACAACCCCCCCCCCGTTTGCTCCTCTCCTTGAAAAGCAAAAGAAAAACTCCCTCATTGGTACACAGTCCCCCCGCACCTCCCCAAACCCCACCCCTACCCCCAAATATAATCCACTCTGCAACCCTCATTGCGTACTCCTACGATAAAAATAATGCCCTAAAATATAATACTTTTAGACTATTCTCTCCCCCATAGACTTCAATGCTGTAAACATATTTTTTTTTTTGCATTTGTCCCTTTGTGACTGAGATACTTCACTCAGCATGTTGTCCTCCAGGGTCACCCATTTTGAATAATATTGCATGAGTTCCTTGTTTTTCAATGCAGCATAGTATTCCATTGTGCAAATATACCACAGCTTCTCTACCCATTCATTTGTTGATGGGCATTTAGGTTGTTTCCAACTCTTTGCTATTGTAAACAAAGCCGCGATAAACATGGGTATACATATATCTACTTGTATACCCATGTTTCTTGAATTCTTTCATCAGCATAAGTATTGAATAGGTTTAGAGAAAGGATACAGCCCATTCCAGATTTTAAACCATGCAGCCTTTCCTTCCTTGTTCAGTTTGGACAACTTCTTGGTCTATACATAGGTTTTACATAAGTACAATTAAGTGTTATGGGATTCCCATTCTTCTAAATGTTATGCATACTTTTTTATGATCCAACTAGTCCAATGTCTTTGTAGTGTTAATAAAACACAAGTAAACATCTCCTTGATGTTCTACTTCCAGCTAAGATCTCTTTGACATTAGCAGTTATATCCCTCATGCCACAGCCTATTCTGAATCAGAAAACTTGAATTTCTCATAGTTGCCTGTCAAGGTACTGTTCTAGCCATTTTTTAATAATCTTCAGAAAGATTTTACTTACTTGTGATATTAATGATATTGCTTGATCATTTCCACAGTCTGTTAGATCACCTTCTTTTTGAAATGGGAACAAATACGGATCTCTTGCAGTCAGTTTGCCATTTAGCTGTCTTCCAAATTTCTTGGCATAGACTAGTGAGCACATCCAGGGCCACATTCATTCACTGAACACCTCAATTGGTATTCAGTCAATTCCTGGCGCTTAATTTTTTTGCCAATGTCTTTAGTGCAACTTGAACTTGTTTTGGTTACCATTTGTTCTTGATTATATGCTCCTTCCTGAAATGATTTAATGTTGAGTAGTTTCGTATTAGTACAGTGACCCTGTATTTCTTCCATCTTCTTTTGATGCTTCATGAATCATTCAAGGTGTTGCTTCTTATATCCTTCAGTATTGTATGTTATTGTTAATTGCCATCAAGTCAAGCATTATTCATAATCACCCTATTAACAAAAGGCCTGAAGTCTTTCTATAACTGTCATCATTTATCAAAGTTCATAGAGTTTCCAGAGGCATGTTGTTTAGAAAGTGGATGCCACTCCTGCTTCCAAACCTGTCTTGAGACTGAGGCTCTGAAGCACTATACAGTATTGTATATCAAGTCTTAAATTCCAGATCTTTGCACATTTCATTTTAGCTTTGCTTCTCAAACTACCCTTTGAAATCTTCTTTTCATCTCTCTTCCCCTTTCTTCCAAGCATTTCTTCCCACTGTTTTTGCTTCTTTATATTCCAGTGTAAGTTTCAGAGTCTCTTCTGATATCCTTTTTTAGTCCTTTTGTCTTCTCTATCTTTGAATGAACTTTTTGCTTCCTTCCTGGATGATGTTCTTGATGTCATCCACAACTCATCTGGTCCATGGCCATTAGTGTCCAGTGCATCAGATCTATTCTTGAGATAGTTTTTAAAATCAGTTGGAATAGATTCAAGCTCATATTTTGGTTCTCATGAATTTGTTTTCACTATCTTCAGTTTCAATTTAAATTTGCATGTTAATAGTGGTGGGGTGCACAGTCAGCTCCTGGCTTTTTTTTTCTCCTGACCTTTTTTTTGTGACTACTAAAATTGAGCTTTTCCATCAACTCTTTCCACCTATACAGTCAACCTGATTCTTGTGTAGTTCATCAACTGAGGTCTATTTGTATAGTCATCACACTTCTGTTTTGTTTTTTTTTTTTTTAAAAAAAAGGGTATTTGCAATGAGTAAATCATTCCTTGTACAAAATTCTGTTATTTAATGTTCCATATTTCTTCTTTGTTTCCAACATTTACATTCCACTCATCAGTTATTATCAATGCACCTTGAGTGCATTCAATCAACTTGAGACTGCAAACGGTAGAAATTCTCAATTTCTTCCTCTTTCTTTGACTTTAGTGGTTAGTATATTTGTTTGAATAACAGTTGTATTAACAGGTCTTCCTCATATGAACTTGGATAGTATCCTATCACTCACAGCTTTGCACTTCAGGATAGATCTTGAAATGTTCTTTTTTCCTGTGAAAGTAACACCATTTCTCTTTAATTTGCAATTCTCAGTATAATAGATCATATGATTGTCTGATTTAAACTGGTCATTACCCATCTGTCTCAACTAAAATGTCAATTTTGTACTATCCAACTCATTTTTGACAACTTCAAATTTCACTAGATTCATACTTTGTACATTCCATGTTCCAGTTATTAATGGATGTTTGTAGCCTTTCACTTCATTTTTGAGTGCCTTCCAACCTAAGAGTCTCGTCTTCCACCAATATATCCATCCAACAGTGTTCTTGTGTTAGAGATTTCAGAGACCTGTTATTTCAGAAGTGGATGGCCAAACCTGCTTCTTAGTCTTTGAATTGGGGTGTTGGCAAAGAATGTCCAGTATACCAGAGACAGTCACAAGAATAAGCAAATAGGCTTTGAAGGATGTGCAACCATAGTGCTTCTTATAGACAAGAATGGTGAAACTTATATTTTCAGGAGGGAAAATGTGTTTCTTGGAGAGAGACATCATGCTGAGAAAGGTAGATGTTCAACAAAAGAGAAGAAGATCCTCAAGGAGATGGATTTACAAAGTGACTGCCACAATGGACAGAGCTTGACAGAGGTTATCACACGATAGGGCAAGGTTCAGAGCAGTTGGTTGTAAGGTGCCTATGAGTTATATTCAACTTGATGGCACCTAACAACCCAACAAAATTTGTCTACATCCTTCATTTCTTACTTTTATACTCTTCTCTCCCCACTCCTTGTATTCTTCAGAGCAGGATAATGATACTATAATGTTTCCTTCTGCCTTGAGCCCAATTTATTAAAAAAGTTCCAGGGCAAATGGGAAAGGAAGAAGAAAGGGCCTGCATTTTTTAAAGTGCACTGGACAATTACCTCCCTTTCGTGTGTCTCTCTTATCTCTTTATCTCTGCTCTTTTCAGGCTTACTTGCACATGCAATTTTGAATACACATTCTCAAGGCTTTTAATCTCATTGTCAAAATGATTTTTCATCTGTCTTTTCCCCCACTCAACTTTATTTCCCCATAGGGAAATTAGATTATTATGTATTGGATACAGACTACTTTCCAAGTATCCACTAGTTTACTATTCCTTTATTATTAACTCCAAATTGTTTCAATGCTCTCTCATGAAACAATTTCCATTTTTCCACTCAGATATCTGTGTTATGACTAGATGTTTTACATTGTTTTGCCTTTGAAGTCTGTTGTTGCTGTTGTTAGCTACCATTGAATGAACAACAACTCATAGCAATGCTTTGAGAACCTTGCCAGAGAGGGCCTTTGCCCTATTGTACACCTAGATCTAAGCCTTTGTAATTTGTAAAATGTTTTGTCATTTTTAAATGCCAATACATGTTTTCTTTTCACTGAGAAATTTCTGGATAAGGGACTATGTTGAGAATTACTGTCTTTCAGAGCCTAATAGTTTTCTAAAGAAGGCTGGTATTTACGTTGACGGATCCCAATTAGGAGAAGATTTTGTTGAGTTGCATAAGCTTCTGGAAAAATCCACTTTCAAAAAGGCCAAACTCTATGGTCCTGATGTAGGCCAGCCTCGAGGAAAGACTGTTAAGATGCTGAGAAGGTAAGAGCTGGAGGAGGCAAAAATACTTGTAAGAATAGGTATTTATTGTGAGGGGAGAAGGGTGCAACAATGAATGAATGGAATCCCAAAATCTCTGTAGATGTTCATTGAAATGAAAAATAAACAACCTAAATTAAAAAAAAAGAATGGTGATATTAAATATGATAGCTACTAATGATTGTATACCATGTCTCAAGCACTGTGGTAAATACCTTAAATACACAAAGTATCTGGATTTAAAAAAAAAAAAAAGAATAGATATTTAGGGTTTATATTAATGGCTGGGGAATGATTTGGAAAAGGATGATAAGAATAGTTGATGTAGAATTTGAACTATATAGTAAATGTTTACTGAATTTTACTTACAGAAATTATTGAGATGGGTATGTTTTGCTATGTATATTTTCACACACACAAAAATGTTTCCTTCTGATGAAGAGTCCTCAAATAGTCCACATGGTATTAACTGACTGACTAGATTTTTTTTTGAGCAACAACAAAACATGCTGGCCAATGTTTTCCAAAATAAGAAAATTGATTGGCTCAGAAGACCAGTGGTTTTGAGGTAAATGACTCCACTGATAAAATTTATATTAGAATTAGAGAATCAGTAACTACATCTGAAAACCCACTAGAGGGTCAGCTATGAGTCAGTTTTAGCTCAGTGGCACACAATAACAGCAGCAGCAAACCCACAAACCCACTGCAAGAGAATGAAACTCTTGGTACATATATTCAGTAATTTTCATAGGAGGATGAAATGATGACATAATGGATTTTTTTCCCTAGTTTTCTGAAGACAGGAGGAGAAGTGATTGATTCAGTTACATGGCACCAGTGAGTATTTTTTTCTTTCCTTTCCTTAGAAAAGTAGTGCTAACTCTACTTATTATTTATTTCTCTAAAAAATTATTTCCATTTATGTCCTGGGCTTTGAATTCAAGCAAGAAACAGTGTTTCAAGGAGCATAACAGTAAGATGTTCATATATACATATACATATACATATACATATACATATATATAATATACATTTGAGATTGTAATTGTGCCTTTTCATGACAGATTATTTTCTTGTTATTTTAATGGAGTGACTATCTTAGTTATCTAGTGCTTCTGTAACAGAAACTCCACAAGTGATTGACACAGTGATTGTATCAGGGGGCTCACGTGTATCGGAGATGATGAGGATGGCACTAGATAGAGCCAGGTTCAGATCTGTGTTCATAGTGTCACTACAAGTTGCCATCCACTCTACAGCACTTAATGACAACAACAATATGACTTTTACAAAGACATTTTTAATCTCACAGTTAGGAGATTAAATGCACAATTTCAGTGTGCCAGCCCAAGGGGAAGGCTTCTGTCCCTGACCACTCTGGGGAAAGGTCTCTGTCTGTCTCCTTTAAAAATCTGTGAGCCTAGCATCCCTAAGAGATCACCATGTGTCTTGGCATCAGTCTTCCTTTGGTTCTAAAAGATTCTTGGTGTAAGGACCCTGGGTCTCAAGAACACTTCTTGATGTTCTTTTTCGGTGATAGTCTGATCCCTCTGTACTCTAACTACCTTTTCTATCTTTTTATCTTTTGTAAGAAAAAAGGTATGATTAAAGCAAGAGTATGACGTGAATAAGAGTGATGACTTGAGTCTTGTGTAAAGGTGATGATTTGAGTGGGACTGAGTCAGACCCTCTTATGAGACTGTGAGTGAAGATACAGTCCATTCTAATCGTGCCTTATTAACATGTTTTTGTTCTTAAGTGCTATAACGTCAACTGTGACTTACAGCAACCCCATGAATACGAGATCTGAATTCTTTCCTGTCCTGTGCCATCCTCATTATCCCGGGCATATTTGACTGCATTGCCACAGGCACTGAGTCAGTCTATCTCATTGAGAGTGGTCTTCTCCTTCACTGATGATCCACTTGTCCAAGTATGATGTCCTTTTCCAAAGACTAGCTTCTCCTAACAACATGTCCAAAATATGTGAGATGAACTTTACTTGCAAGGAACATTGTGGTTGCACTTTCTCCAACACGTATCTTGCTCTTTTAGCAGTCCATGAGATATTCAGCACTCTTGTCCAACACCACAACTCAAATGTATCATTTCTTTTTTTCTGTCATCTTTATTCATTGTCCAGCTCTCAAATGTAGGTGATTGGAAAGACTGTGGCCTGAGTCAGGTACACCTTAGCCTTTAGACTCACATCATTGCCCTTCAGGATTTTGAAGAGATTCCCTGATAATAAGGAATAAGAGATCCCTTATTAAAATAGGTTATGCATACAGACAGAAATTTTTATTTACAATATATATCTGAGGATAATTTCATTAAGTCAAAAAATGAAGGACAACTTCACAAATAATAGCAAACAAATTGACCCATATTTTGGGGGGCACAATTTAATCCATGATAAATACCCCAGCCACCTTGATCTCTTCTACAGTAGACCTTCTGCTTCTCTCTGCCTTTTTTTTCCCTTCCAAGTGTAGGGGGAGTGGGAGATTTAGTAAAGAAAACCAGATCAGCTTTTAATTAAACTGAAAAGCAGAAGTAAAATTTATTCTTGTTATCTTAATATTTTATAAATAATTTAGCTACTACTTGAATGGACGAATTGCTACCAAAGAAGATTTTCTAAATCCTGATGTACTGGACACTTTTATTTTATCCGTGCAAAAAATTCTCCAGGTAATAGTCTGTCTTTTTTTTAAATTTAATATAAAGCTAAAGTCCTTATTTGTAGTCTAGCTAGTGCTAAATTCTGCAGGTATATAAATTTGTATTTTTTTTTTAAATCTTAAAGACTCTGAGCTTATTGAAGACAGGCACTATGTTTGATTTATTTTTTAGTTCTCTTTTATTCATATGTGTCTTTTGGAAACAAAAGCTTTTCAATAGCTTTTTGGTAGGATTAACTATCATAGGTCATAAAAATTTAGTTTGTGTATGTTCTTTTCATGCCCTGGTATTCCAATAAAAGCAAATTGCCCAAGACCTAAATTACTGTGAACTAACTAGACTGGATAGATGGGTGTAGTTCACAATGAAGAAAATGTTTTGAATGTCATTTATCTTTAGCATCCTAATTAGTCATTTTATTTGCAATTACTATGGAGACTTTTCCTGTTCTGTAGGTTGTTGAAGAGACCAGACCTCAAAAGAAGGTTTGGTTAGGAGAAACGAGCTCAGCCTATGGCGGTGGAGCCCCTTTGCTGTCCAATACCTTTGCAGCTGGCTTTATGTGAGTAAAACAGCACCTATCTCATGGATCAGATTGTGGCCATTCTGTTCAGTTGAAATAAACTGTCAGCCAAAAAGTAAATAAAAAGTTCGTCAACTTTGGGACTGAGCCCCAGAATTTGTTGTGCCAGATTTTTCAAGGAAGTGACTCACCAAACCTGTTGAACATCTTTAATATGTGCCCTAAATGAATCATTGCAAGAATGAATTGGTTTAGAAATTTTTATTCTTAACTAACCAAATTAGTTGACCTTGAGTCAATTTTAATTCATAACAATGCATATTGTAAAATAAGTTCATTTCAGAGCTTTGGGTCTGAGACATTTACTTATTATATGTAGTTTTACTCATAGTTTCCCAACAAGTTTAGAGTCGGAAGTCTAAGTTCACACCAAAGCAGTTTCTAGTGAATTTAGAGATTTGCTAGATCATCTCATGATTCACAATTACAAACTTGATTGCTTTAGAATAGTAATTTATCTATATTTAATACTGTACTAAGCATTCTTCTATACTTCTTTATTCTCATGTTTGGATTAAGAGGTATTCTCCTCTTATTCTTAAAAACCCAAAGTAAAGCATAATTGTTTGGGGATGGGGGTATGAGAGGTGGAGAAAAGAAGAAAACTGTTATCATTAATTAAAGGTGCATGAATTTCCATAAAAATTCAGATATGATACTACTTGGTTCACATTTTATCACTCAGAACTAACATACGGAGCAGGGACAGAGCTGAACTAACCTCATCGGATGGAGATTTGTCTATTCGGGTGAAAACTTTGGTTGTATATGGGTGACCCTACTCCCTACTCTCTCTCTTTTTTTTTTTTACTCCCTACTATCTTGATGGTATTTATGGAACCTTGTAGAACTTGCTGCTGAATATGGGAAGATAAGAAGGGAAAGATTCTAAGGCTGCTGCACATAGTATCATTTCATTCAAATAACTTATCCATAATGAATCTGGTTTCCAGTGAATGTCTCACATATAGATGGATAGGTTGGCTATCATGTAATTAGAATTATATTCTTTTTTAAAAAAAATATATTCTGAAAGAATTTCTTGAAGAAAGCTCAGTCTCTCTTTGCTCCAGGTGGCTGGATAAATTGGGTCTTTCTGCCAGGATGGGCATTGAAGTGGTAATGAGGCAAGTGTTCTTCGGAGCCGGAAACTACCACTTAGTGGATGAAAACTTTGAGCCTTTACCTGTAAGTGACCGTAATTTCCCTATTTGTTCGTACACTAGAAGATGCTAAGGGTCCCTTTTCATCCTCCTCTGAATAATCAGTTACTCATTGCCTTCAGTAGACATCCAATCACAGAATAATGAGTTAAAAGAGACTTTAAACACAGTTGAATGGAAAAGAATTAGCTATATAAACTATAAATGAGAAAGAGAAGAAATGGAGAGACTTAATATGGGTCCTTTTAGATCTGGGTTTTGTTGTGTGCCGTCAAGTCAGAGCTGACCCAGAGCTGACCCTCCAGCAGGTTTTCAGAGGCAGTAACCTGTACAGGAAGAGATTGCCCATCCTTCTCCCAGGGAGCAGCTGGTGGACTCAAACCATGGGGTGCTGGTATTATAGCACAGCTTCTTAGCACTAGGCCACCATTGCTCCCTAGAGGCATGGTATGGGATTTGTTTTTAGTCAATAGTCTTATTTTTTTTTTTAGATCTGTTTTGTTGTTGTCATTGTTGTTATGTGACATCAAGTTAGAACCCACTCCTGGCTGACCATCCAATGAGTTTTCAGAAGCTCAGGAGGAGATTGCCCGTCTTTCTTCCATGGAGCAGCTGGTAGATTTGAACTGCTTGCCTTTGGGTTGACCACTAGACCTCCAGAGCTCCCTTGATCAATTTTGCTAAAATGGAAAAAACCAACCAAACAGGAATGTATAGGTATAGAGCCTACTATACTATACTATACTATACTATACTATACTATACTATACTATACTATACTATAGTTCCCTGTCGGCCTTCCTCCTCTCTTCCTAGCTCCCCTCACTGTTGCCATCTTGTACTTCTGTGGTTCATTTGTTTAAACTGATGAACCAATACTGGTACAATATTATCTAAAACCCAGACTTTTTACAGGCCAGTGCATTTTGATATTAGGTGTTACACACAAATCCACTCCTTAGTGCTTTCAAGCAGAATAATGTCACAACCCTGGAAATCCAATGTTCTACTACTTCTTCCCACTTCTCCCACAAGTCTCTAGCAATTAGTGATTGTTACTACCTCTGTATGTTGTTGTTGTTATGTGCCATCAAGTCACTGGCAACTCATGGTGACCTTATGCACAGTAGCTCTCAATACTGGCCTGAGCCAGTTTCTCTCTCTCCAGCACACTCACTCCCATTACCTCAGTTTCTGGGTCTCTAAGTAGTTTTTCCCTTTTCAGATTGTCATTGAACAGGAATTATTATAAATACACACACACACACACACACACACACACACACACACACACACACTTTTTACTCAGACTTCTTTAACTTTTTAATATACATTTTGGAATTGCTCCAGGCCTTTCATAGCTTGAAGAACCTCTTCTTTTTATCACTGAACAATACAATTGTATTCTATTGTAATTATGTACTACACTTGATTATCTGTTCATATATTTAATAATATCTTAGTTGCTTTCAGTTTGGGCAATTATGCCTAATGCTTCTATAGGTGTTTATGTATATATTTTTACATGAAAATAATTTTTCAAATAATTTGTGTAAATTAGGTAAGAATATGATTTCTGGGCCAAATAGTGAGAAACATTGTAAGAAATCCCCCCCAAGTGATGATACCATTTCACATTGTCACCAACAAAGAATGAGAGTGTTTGTTTATCACTCTAAAGCCTTACCAACATTTAGTATTGTCAGGGTTTTTTATTTTAGCCATTCTAATTATTCCAATAACAATGTGTCAATGTTGCTGTAATAAGAAGCTCCTTGTTGACAAGCTATTGAACTTGTTTTATGTGCTTATTTGACATCTGTATATCCTTTTTACTTAGTAATCTATTTCAATCTTTTGCCCACCTGGTAATTACTGTTATTGCTTTTGAAGATGCAAATCCTTTATATGTATTTTCTGAATATTTCATTCAAGTCTATGACTGATCTTTTAACTCTTTAATAGCATCTTTCTCAGAACCCAAGTTATTAATTTCAATAAAGTCAACCAGATCTATTTTTCCCCTTTTCTTGTATTGTACTTTTAGTGTTGTATCTTGATATTATCTCCAAACTCAAGGTCATACAGATTTTCTCCTATTACCTTCTGGAAGTTTTACCTCTCTCTCTCTCTCTCATTGTCCTGCAAACCAACTCTTATCTGACCCTCTATTGGATTTCTGAGAGTATAAATCATAGAAGGAAATTTTCATCTTTCTCCCAAGAAGCCATTGGTGTATTAGACCCACCAGAGATGTGCCACCTTTGAATCAGAAGCACAACACCCCACAACTACCCTTCCAGAGCTTTATAGCATTGCCTTTTACTATATTTTCTATCCATTTTTTATGATATTATTTTTAGTTATTTTGTTGTTGTTGCTCATGTTTTTGGTGTCTTCTGGACATTTCTTATGGATCTTGTACTCCAAAAAAGGTAAGCAGTTTTTACAAAATTTAATAGATATTGAGTATATGTCCAGATAGACAGCTGATCATGCAGCTCTTCATAGTTACCTACTTCTAAAGCACCTAAACTAACTTTTAGGATTTCCCCAGATACAATACTATAAAGCTCTGGTGACATACTGGTAAGAATCTGAACTGTAATCACAAAGCCATGTGGTTCAAATGCATCAGCTGCTCTGCAGGAGAGGATAGACAATCTCCTCCCATAAAGTTGCTGCCTTTGTAAACCCACTGGAGGAACTGCTATGGGTCAGTTCTGACTCAGTGGTGGACAACAACAATACTATACAACTGCTAAAACTCTGGAAGGATATATTCTCACCACTGTGCCAATCGACAGCACAGTGATAGATGGAGAAGAATTTGAGATTGTCAATACCCGTCTCCACAGTCAACACCCTTGGCACCAGCAGTCAGGAAATCAAAAGACAAATTGCATTAGGAAAATCTACTGTCAGGAACCTCTCCAGAGTGCTGTGTCAGTCTAGAGACTAAGATGTGCCTGATCTACGCCATGGTCTTTGCAATTACTTCCTACT